GGAATGACAAAAAGTGCAACCTGTATCGTCTCACAGTCTGTGAATTTTAAAGAATGGCCTTTCAGCCACCTCGGAGTGTGGAGACAATGAAATATGCTGTGTCTTAGGTTTATAAAATTGCTGCAAATTTTCTATATTGTAAAATCTAAAATGAATCATATTTAGGTAATTTTTTATCCTTAAGAAAATACTAAATGTGGTAGGTGATTAACATAATTAAAATGTGCTTAATCTGATGTGTTTCTCTCTTTTGGAGGGTTGGGAATGCTTCAGAATTCATTTTTCATGGCAGGCTGTCTCTGTGCCTTTGTGAAGATTAGAGGAGAATTTCAAGGTTTGACCTGAGATATTGGAAAAGTCAGAAGTTTAAATTGCCCATACCTTCACAGTGGAAGCATTTCCAAGTACTTAATAGTTTCTGCCTTAAAAGAGATGCCCAGAGTTGACTTCACTGGAGCAATTATGGTCTCAGGTTTTGTACCTCACATTCGATTATAGAGTTTGTGTCATATTTAAGCACACACTGACTCATTCAGCATCCACATTTAATTTTTGTTTTATGAAAATGTTAACAGTACCAGTTACAATTAATTATCGTAGTGTTTTATAGAGTGTAGCTTCTGCAACTAAGATAAATATTTCATTAGATCCAAGTAGACAAAGATATGTATATAAATGCCAAAGATTGCATTTTGTTGCTAAAGCAGCACATTCCCTCAGAAAATGATCTTTTACAAAATATTTCTTTTACAAAATATTTTCACTGCTTGCTCAGTTTGGGTAGTTGGTGAGCAGGGGCAGCTCAGTAGAGTACCATGTGTAGCAAATTCTCACATACTTACCTTGCAGTAGAGTTAAAAATACATTCATAAACACTTCATATCCTGCTCCTCACCCACATGTGGCCTCTGTGCAGGGAGCCCCAGGGAAGCTGGACTTGACTCTGGGCAGTGTTCCCTGGTCTACACTGAGGAGAAAGATGGGATCTTTTCACAAGCCCTGTCAAGTAGGAAAGATTTAGGATCTTCAGGCAGCTTTGGCGATGGATGATCCATGTTGGGGTTCCATGCAGCACTCCAACTGATCAGGGAGCACACAGGGATTCTGAAATAGAAAAAGTACACCCAGTACCACATCAGATAGATTCCAATGTGTGAAGCTGCTTTACAGAGTAGCTTGCTTTAAGACTTACAAGCATGATACCATTTTAGCCAAAAGTTTTGAATGGGAAGGGAATAGATTATGCCATGATGAAAATTCTGACTCTCAGGTTACACTGAGAAAAAATAAGGCTAAATTAATACCTTTTAATTTTCCTGGGCTCTGACCAGCTGCACTAAAGCTCCTGGAAAGAGTGGAAGGTCTACTTAAAGCTAACACTTAAATTTTAATTATTAGTA